TTTAAGTTGTGAAAAGTGGCTATGTATTGACATACTATTCTGTCCTTGGATAAGCAGGGAGTCGATTAAATGTGTGATTAAAAAGTTGTGAATTTCATAAAATGTGTTATTGAAATTAATTGTTGACTTTGATTTTTAATAACACCAAACATGGGCTAAGTTTTTGTTTGTCTATTATTATTTCAATTTTATTCTGTCAAACTCATTTTCAATTGCATATTCTTGAAATAAAATATTTTGCACGGAAAATCAAAATTTTCTTGTGCTGTACTTTTTCACTTCTATCCATACTCTACACACATATAAAATGGTAGGGCTATGACATTTTTGTCAATGATGGAGTGTGCAAAATTAAGTTTCTGTTTGTCTATCATTATTTCAAAAAAAAAAAATTGCCGGAAACACATTTTCAACCACAAAGTCTCATAATAAAATATTTTGTATATAAATTCAAAATTTTTATTACTTTTTAACTACATATTCTTTAAGAATTTACTATTTTAAAAATAATTTTCTTACTTTAATGGTAGACAAACGTGGTTAAGATAGTATTAAGAAAAATAAGAAGTTAACATTTTGTGTGTGGTACTTTTCCAATTCTATCCATACTCAGCATGCACATACCAAACACGCTCTCGGAGGTTACAGGTTTCACTTGACCCTTGCATTTAGGTTGAAAAGAGTGGTTTTTTAGTAATGTAGTTTGTGTTCCACATTCTTTCATTCTTTATGAAGCTTGATTAAGTGTTAAAGATGTTTTCTATGTTCATATAAAAGTTGGAGGATTAATCACCATGTTTCATGTTTAATGAATCATCTATTACATGAACATTAATAACAATTTGTAATCGATTGAGATATGGTTTGCACCAATTGAAACAAGTTTTGAGGTGCCTTTGTGCTGTAAACACTTGTATGGTACGTTTAATTGTCAATATCTTTCATAAAAAAATGTCATTTTTTTCACTCAAATTCTTACTTTTATGCTATTTGATTTATATTCTTTTCCACATAAAATATTTTTCTACTTTGGTCATATAACCATGTTTTCCTTAAAAACAAGGAAGATATGTTCTTTAGGGAGTGTAGTTTTTTTTTTTTTTTTTTTTCCAGATAATATTATCTCTCTCTCTCTTCACTCATCTACCCAACAATTAAAAATGAATAAGTATAACATTTTTTAGGTTTAAAATAGAATCAATCAAACACATTTAAATGACAATTTTCATGCAAATAAGTTTTAGGCAATTCAATTGTCTAGAATTTATTTTCTTTCCATATAAATTTCATACTCACAATTTAAGCAAGCAAAAAATAAATAAAATAAAAAATTTTTGCCTCTACGAGCATGGCACAATGGTAAAGCAGGAGGGTTCTATACGAAGCATCGGAAATTCGAATCTTCACGGCAATTAGAAGGCAATTGTCCTGCAATTGTCCTGTAGAGGCAAAGTTATGGTGCGCTTTGTCACCCTCCGAGGGTCCTGTCCGCACGTCGTAAATAGAGGTCTATAGGGAAAAGAACAGCATCCCGAATGTTTGACTCAAGTGTGTATAAACTGTGACAGCATTCGAATTTATGTAGATGGCGAATCAAGGGGGAAGGCCGCCACTTCTTAAAATTAGTCAGGTGAAGTTTGAACACTTGAGTTATCAAAAAATAATAAAAATAAAATAAAGTGAGCAATATCATTCGAAAAGGGAAAGGCTCAAAAATCTTACTCACGGACCATTTCTACACTTCACTTGATGGCCGTGCTATGATTTATGAGTTCAATAACTCAAAACAATTCCTAAAAACATCTCTCGATTTGCAGCATCAGAAAATGATTTGAGAGGGTGATTCCCATTGCAATTCCCTTTTTTTTTTCTTTTTTTTTTTCCCTCTCTCCCAATCAACTTGGAAATCAAATCAAACTACCTGAAAGGTTAAGGAATCTGATTAATCTTGAATTAAATTCAGCGGTTGTGCGATTTGAATAAAAATCAAATTTTAAATAGATTTTGATAAAAATTGATGAAACATATAATAGAAAATTAATAAAAATCGTCACCAAATTGGATGGGAATAAGACGAGAGAATGTGCCGGAAGAGACATTTTTGCGTTGCTTTTGAAATTTTGAGTGCAAGAATTATGGCATTAAACCGATGGGATGCATCAATTAGGGTGATCCTAAAGAACAAAATATTAGAATAAAGTGCAGTAATGAACTAATACACGTACACAAAACAACATTTGTGACACGGTCAACTGCAATAACCCTATTTCGAATTCACACCTACGGCTAATTTTCTAATATAAACAGGATAGTATAGACAGATTTGTCAACTATTATTTTAAAATTTAATTTCTTTTTAAATTTATTTTCAATCACACATTTATACAATAAAATATTTTGCACATGAATAAAAAAATTTATCTTACTTTTTAATCACCAGTTCTCCGAAAGTTCACTATTTTAAAACTCATTTTCCTACTTTAATGATAAATAAATATGGACATACTAATAAATGTTTCATGTTCTTCGTATGTATGGTTATTTGCTGCAAGTTTGACTTAACTAAATTTAGGCCTTACGGAAACAGTAAGTAAAAATTCAGGTTATTACATTTCTTCCTCTTAGATTAATTTCTTCCTCGAAATTATCTTATCTAGTCTAAAAATTTTGGACACATGACTTTTATTTCCTCTTTTTTCTTTCAAGTAGCCTCTTTGACTCCGTGCTTTTTTCATCGAACTTTAACCAAGGTGACTTCTTTATTTTTTAATGCATGTACTTTCCTTTTGATAATCTTTAAAGGAGTCCTTCACATGTCAGATCCTTTTGATTTTCAATGAGTCATATCCAAAAAAATAAAGACATTGTCGTAGTCGTAACACGTAAGAAAAGTTACTTATATTGTAGTATGGAGTTAGTCTTGAGTAATCTGGTTTTAATCATTATCAATTAGGAGACGATATACCGAGGAAAAGGTTGCCTACAATGTAAAGTAAAAAGTATCTTCGAAAACCAAATAAAAGATCCCAAAATACGAAGGGATACTTGGAGGTTGTTACATTCATATTTAGGGATATCAAGCTAGTAACATTCAATTGGTGAGATCCAAACTAAACTTGGTCCAGAAAGAAATGAGTATTGTAAAATCAACCTTAGAATGAATTCTCCTACTATGTGATCGAAAAATAAATTTGAGATGTGTATTACACGAGAGATGAAAGAAAATATTTGACTATTGAGGGTCAAAAAATAACCAATATAAAGAATCGTGATTATTTGATTGACCAAGTGAAAAGTAGTTTAGTTGTATGATTTGTTAACTTTTTGTGAGTTGTCAATAATTTTTTTAATTGATACAAGTTCTGTAAGGTTATTCAATGCTTCAAGTATTACGTTATTTGCTTGCATGTTTAATCACTAGTGTTGTTTGGACGAACAACAGTTTAAGATTGAAAATGAGATAAATGCATATTATGCACTTATTTGTACATTATTTATTTATTTATTTATGATTAATTGAGTGGATATCTCTACATAATATGTGTAAATATGTTAATTGTACATAAATCAATTCCTGACTTTGGATGCATTTGGATGCAATTTGCATGAAAATGGTGAAATTGGAGCTAAATTGGAATTGATTGAGAACTTTTGTTAAAAACTTATTCCTCGTAGAATCAATATCTGGATTCACCTCCACTTTACTACTTGTTCGTGATTTATATACTTGATGGACAAAATTGTCAAAACTATCGATATTTGATTCATCATTGGGAGCCTTGGTACAGATTAACTGAGACAGTATTTACATAGTTGTGTAATTTTCTTATGGGACAAAACGAGCACCATTGTTGTGTAAATTTTAACACCAGAACTTAAAATTTATTTTCAAATTTGATGAGTTTTAAGTGTGTGATTGATGAGTATATGTTCAATTATTTAAAAAGAAAAAAAGAAAAGAAAAATTGGAGTATATACAATGGTTCATTAATGTAAGAGGAGGTGGGGTCTTGGGGCCTTAAGTTTGTTGCGTCCTATAATAGAATAGCTTGTTTTGTCATCTTTGAAGGTGAATGAGATTGATTAATATTCTCGTTCAAGCTCAGTGATCAATTCAGATATTTTATATTTTATTTATTTTTTAAAACTTCGTAATACTAACAGCAAGTTGAGAAAAGTGGTGGTATGATGGCTAAAAATTTGTGGTCGTCCTTGACGTTGAATAGTTGAACAGTGACGAACGTTAAATTTTGATGAAATTGCCAAGCCTCTCATAATGTGGAGGATACAAGAATGAATTAGTGATTTTAAATTTGGGCATTGAAAATACCATGCACAACTCTCAAAAGAAGCTTTTGAGCTATAAAAATTTGAATTTTGGGAAAAAAAAGAGGAAAAAAAAAAAAAAAAGAAAGCTTTGATCAAGCTCTTGTTTAAAATTTAATCAATCTCTATCTCTAATATCAATAAATATTGATACAAGATGTACTAAATTTATAAACCATTTTTCAGATATTCAATAAAAATCACAATGAATAAGGGATAAAATAAAGCTGTGTGGTCAAATATTGAATAAGAGAGAATATCCTCAAAGATAATTTTGAAATGGTCTCATGCCAACAAACCACCATCCTTCAACACCACCTAGAAAATTCAACGAGCCACCATCGTCCACCCAATTGTTATTAGAGCTATCAACCCTATTTATTTAGACAGCGAATGATCAACCGAATAGGAATTAAGATTTAAATTTGAATTGTAGTCAAAATCAATAATTAATTTTAATACTTTTCGACCACACATTTCATCAACTTTTTATCAAAATCTACTAAAGGCTAAAGACGTTTATATGAGAAGCTTAAGAGACTCACCAAATACAACTAGGATAAATCTACTTCGCTAGAAAGATTTGATAGAAAGCGTGACATAATTTGCATGCGACAGGAGATGATTAAGTTGCCTGTGTTTTAAAATATCCAATACTATAATACCACATAATATTACGTGAACATTGATGTTTATGTAGCACGACTGAGGTAAATATGGACACCCAAGATTTTTGACTTTCAAGGGGGACGAAGGACAAAACAATATGATGGAAAATTCTCATGCTACCTCAAATTTGCAACATGCCAACCCAATAAGCTAAAATCAGCTTTTGATTATTTATAAATAATAATCTTTGAGCTTGCTATATTTATTACAAAAAAGGAAGTATTAAACTCTTCATAGAAGTCTTATTACATTCCATAGTTCATATTTACAGATGATAATTGCCTATTCTTTACTTGTATAACTCCATTGTGCTTCAAACTTACAACTGTATATTCATTCTTTCCTCATAGTTCCTTCATTGTGTTGTATAATGAGTGTATACAGACTACCGAGCTCTCGTTCCTCAAACGCTCGAAGGTTTGTCTTCTACAAAAATATCCAAAAGCGAGATCGCCTGCAATGACCAAAGCAGGATAGAAAGTTAATGGCATGTTTGTTATGTTAAGCTCCAGAATATCCGATAGTTTTAAGTTAATATCTTGCTTGTCATCCTCTATCAAAATTGTAGTGTGTACCAAACATGGGTCGATTAGGTTAAGGATAAACAATGATAAGCTTTTCAGAAAGTTGAACACTCGTAACGATGCCATGAGATGTTCTGTTGACGTAACGAATCCTTAACAAAGGAGATGTACAAGTACCTCGGGGACATTTAATTCGAGACGAAACTTAGGACCATCATAGTGGTGAAGAATTGGCCTAAAAGAGTCTTCTTCCAAAGGCTCGCAGACTTTTCTTGTAATCACACGCACCTGCAACGAACATATCTGTAAATCTCAAAACCATTCCAGTAACCAAAGATCATTCAAAACAATTGAACTGTAAAGATTTATCCTCATTTTCAGCTAATATAATGTTTCATTCAACTCAATTTATTTGCACAATTTCTTTACAGTGTAAATAAGGATGAGAATAAACAACATTATCAACATCTATCTATTTCTAAATAAGCTCGGGCCTCATATATGGTAGGGATTAGGGAAACTTGATACATGTTTGAATGCCTGAAAAATCCTAATTCACAAACCGTGCACAAAGTTTATGGTATGAATAATGACTAGTACACACCTGAGCAGGGAAGCGTGATTCACCAGAGTATTTCTTGTCTTCCCAAGCTGTTGGGTCGATATTCGTGCCACCAAAACTCGCAGCCTGAAAGATTCACATATACGTTTCATGAGCATGTGCAATTTAAGTGAGCTGAGTAACAACCATATAACCTTCAACAGTGGAACACAAGTAGGTATGATTTGAACATAACATAGTTTTGTACAAACCTCGAAAACTCCATGAAGTTGGTGAGTCGAATAGTTGTAGAGAAAGAGAGGTAATCCCGGAGTAATTGCTCGGACTGAATCTCGATAACGGGGAGGCAAGCCTGAAAATAAACATTGTAAAAAATTTCAATAGGAGCACAGAAGAAGATGCAGTCAACATGATAGATCCAATATTTGATAGAATTAATCGTGCTAGTTCAAATGACTTCGGATAAATATGCTTCTCTTCTTGATTAATTCAAAACTACCAATAGTCTTTGTATAAAATTTTCATTTCATGATCGTGAAACAAATGTTCTTAACTAACAACAAAATAACAGAACAATTAATACAACCAATTAACATATCATATCATTGAAACCAATTTCAGTAAAAACAAAATATGCAATTATATCGAAGAACTCTTTCATATTCCAAAATTAGTAATACAAAAGAAACCAATTTCACACCAAAAATTCAAATTCACAAAGGGAAAAAAAGAAAAGAGAAGAAAAGAAAAGGAAAAAAAAAAAAAGAAAAAGGAATCCACTACGAACATTAATAAAACGCCCAAGACTCCAAGAATGATGAAAGATCACAGCTTTCTTATCGTTTAACTATTTTAATATTTTGATACTCAAATAGGATAAAATTCCATAGTCCAAACTAGTCTTTTGCATATCAGATAATCCAATCAAGAACACAGTCCAAAATAATCCTTTAATAGACACATGAACCAAACAAAAACTTCTGGGCGTGATCAGCGTGATCATATTCATTACCAGACTGTCTAATGGACAAAGAATTTCACTTTATTAACTACCTTGAAACTGTCTAATCCAACTTATTAATTAGCAAACAGGAATAAAACATTGCAACAAAATAAAAAAGTAATGAATAAATTATACATACCAAAGAGCTGTCTCTTGAGATTCTCTTGCATCGTATCGTTGTTGCACACGAAGATATACCCGCCAACTGTTTCATTTCTAGGGAGAGATTCTGAGGGCGGCAAAGTCTTGAACCTCTTATCAGAAGCACTCTTGTTTTCACCATTACTGTTATTAGTGCTCTCCTTATTATTCTTATTCTTCTTTCCACTTTTATTCCCTCCATACCCATGTCCATCTTCATTTTTACTACTTTTCTCTACCCTCCCGTTCGCCAGAACATTGTTAAGATTCTTACCCTTACTGTAACTGTTAAAATTCAGAGAAGTGGTAGAGTAGACTCCTTTGTTGAATCCACCGTTCAACCCGACGGATCCGTTCCCAGAATTAGTATTATTACTATTTAACCCAGCCTTCCATCCATCGTTGCTGAACCCAAAATTGAAGCCATTGAAACCTGACTTGGAATCATCAACTGGGTTGTTGAAGGATGAGTTAATTGAATTCAAAGAATTGATCTTACTGTTCAAACCAACAGGACCATACCCAGAACTATTATTACCTTTCAACCCAGCTTTCAATCCATCGTTGTTGAACCCAAAATTGAAACTATTGAAATCAGACTTGGAATTATCAACTGGGTTGATTGAATTGAAAGAGTTATTAACCTCACTAGGACCAACCCTTACGTCGAAATTCCGCCTCTGCTCAGCGGGGCGTTTCGTAGAATAGTTGGTGCTCCAAATTGAGTCATTCAAAGAAAGACTCGCCAAATTGCTTCCTTCAAGCCGAATATCATCACTAAATTGCCAGAAGGACGACTGATTTCCATTCTCCATTTCCTCTAACTCTGAATACAGGAATTAATTATGTATTGATTCTTAAACGATACTATATGTAAGAAAGGGTCTGGGGGTCGGTATATAAGGTAGAAAAGCAGGAAATTTCTAGGAAGTGGAATAGGTGATGGCGTGTAGATTTGGTAAAGGCAGTACTATGCATGAGAAAAAGAGAGGCAGAAAAAGAAACAGCGTTGTTTAGGTGAGAGAATGAGAGAGTGGTGACGACATATACACGGTTTGTAGGAGAAGATGTGGAGTTAGATAGTGGAGGAGTTGATTTTTCTTTTTCTTATTATTATTATTATTATTTTTTTTTTTTTGGGGTAATTAAGAATCTAGAAATGTAAGAATATACTATGGAAGGTGAAGAGTTCACACCTGGGTTTGTTTTGCTTAGGTGCTAAGAAAAATCTTCGATGGGAGAAAATTTTATTGCACGTCACTCTCAATATATAGGTTTAGTTTAGGTTGATAGGAGAATTTCGATTTATTTCAAAATATTCACTCAATTTACTTTTTATTTCAGGTTGATAGGAGAATTTCGATTTATTTCAAAATATTCACTCAATTTACTTTTTATTTCGAGTCCGCCACTTTGAACTTGACTTTTTGAATATGAGATTTATGTTCGACCTAGTCTATCAGCTTCTAGTAATTTCATGTCTTTTGATTTATTTCAAAATATTCACTCGACTTACTTTTTATTTCGAGTCCACCACTTTGAACTTGACTTTTTGAATATGGGACTTATGTTCGACCTAGTCTATCAGCTCCATGGAATTTCATGTCTAGACGTTCGGGTTATGTTTTCGATTCGTACAAGTAGAACAAAACGCCTAATATAATTATTTTATTTGGGTTGGTCATTTCATGTATATTTGATGGTTGACATGGTTATAAATTTGAATCATACTAATGCGACATAATAGTTGACATAATGTTACATAGCACTTCATCATTAGATTATCTTAAATGCAATTAACTTTTTCATCAAATCACATCTTGTCGGCACCAATTCTGTCACTCTATCTGTCAACCACTTTTGATAAAGTGGCATAACCCTATAAATTTTGCTGCTTGATTGAAAGAATATGAAAACTTGCACATTCTTTAACTCGGTGTAGCTTCGCGAATAAGAGTAAGTCTTGTCTTAGAGCTGTTGATTTTAATTGTGGTGTAAACGGAATGGTGAACACGAGAAAACAATGTAAGTTGGTTAAATTTTTGGAAAAATTGAAACTTAATGACTAACATAAAACAAAACTATAAGTTGGGTGCCACCAGTGAATTGCCGTTTGACGTAAGCCGTGACTGAGTAATAACACGTGTCGATGGAAAGAGCTCCGCTCCTTTACAGTAATTTCTTTTCATGGGCCCAAATTTAATTAATTTTAATTTTTATGTTAGAACGCTAAAACTTCTCCATATTCGTAGTAGTGACGCCAAACTAATTTTATTGCTATAAAAATGTTGTTATACCTTAAATCTTTAATATAATAAGTCATATATTCTGGCTTTTATTCAACAATAATCAAGATTTTTTTTTTTTTAATATTTTCTTATGATTTTCGTTAGGAATCAAGAATGAGGTTTGTTGACCGAAATCAAATAAAATGTGGCCTTTTTGTTTTAATTTTTTTCATGATAATTGAGTATATAAGTTTTACTCGACAATGATCGAAAGCCCTATTTTTATTTATTCTTTGAGATCGAATAAATAATTTGTTATTTTACCGAACAAGGTAGTTGTACTATATGCTTGAGTATTTCACTTTCTTGATCGCAAAAAATATTTGTTTTCATATTTGACTTGATATAACACGAAAAAGAAATTCAAACATGATGGGATAATTTAATTGGTTTATGTTGAATAGATATACTGAACATATTGGAGGAATGTAACAACAAACTATATTGAAAGAGAATCGGCCTGATAATGGACAACAAATGGTCAAGCCTTTGCCACTTCTTGAGGTTTGAATGAGTCAGAAAGCATCAAATTTCTTTTTTCTCAAACTCGTGGCGGAATTTGTGCAGTTTTGACTTGGAAAATCACTTATGTTTTTTGAGAGGGTCATAAGTGGGTTATCAAACAATCAAAAATTGCTACCTGGACTATTTATTGTTTGGATAATGTTGGTTAAGAAGAAAATATGTACTCTCTAGAGTCTTTGAAAAATAAGTTGAAAGGTATAGTTTTTAACTAGGCAGTAAATCTTCCACTGACATGTAATCTTTGGATTATCTCATATAAATTTGATTGTTGCCTCCTGTAGAGTTTAAAGTAGTATATAAAAGATTATTACAACTACAATGCGAAAAATATAAATTCTCAAAGTGTAAAATCTAAACAAACGATCCAAAGCTTCTTCAACACCACCAATGGAGTATCCTATGATATTAAGCTCAGATTTGTGCCACATCAGATCATACACAATCGTCCATAGGAATGACAATGGATATACCGAGAAAAGATCCACCAGAAGCCACCAAGAATTTCGCCGAAGATTTGGAATGCTCCCACTTGGTTACCTCTCTGTTCTTTCTCTCTATTGTTATATCAAGTCCAAAAATGAGAGAAATGAAAAAATCTTGTAATTATAGAACCAAATTCATTTGAATTCAAAATTCAAATATTGTACTATAGTCAAGTAGAAAATGACAACACTAGTATAGGATAATTGACCACAAGATTAAATACAACCATTAGATTTAATCTATGGTCCATGTTATTCCTAAACTAGCACAATTCACTTCAATATCACTAGACCAATCAACTTGTAGCATGGAGATGGTGTGATCCACCTCACAAATCTTCACTTTGGATCACACAACATCCATGGTCAAATTCCCCGGTTACAAGTGATATCCATTAGTGTGGTCTTATTTTTATCATCATCGCTCACTCCAACTCAGTACCTGCACAACAATTAATCATTATCAATACTCAATATTGATAAACATTTGTTGAACTTACCAACCATAAGTACTTTTGTTCCAACATTTGCTGGGTTATCATCAGTTACAATTTTAAGCAAAATAAATTCACCAAAAGCTAACTTCTCCCTAATGAAGTGATACTTCACCTCAATATGCTTAGAATGTTCATGATAAACAGGATTTTTAAACAACATCAATGAACTTTGTCTATCAGTAAAAATCATAGTATTATCATTCAGGAAGTTTAATTCACATAAAAAAAGCCTTTCAGCCACATGCATGCCTTCACAACTTCAGCTAATGCAATATATTTTGCTTCAGTGTTGGAGGGTGTAACTATATATTGCAACTGTGATTTCCAAGTGATACAGTTATCACCTAAATTGAAGAAGTATGAAGTGGTAGATTTCGTTTATCTCCCGCAAAGTCAGAATCTACATATGCGTTAAGCTCTAATTTTTTTAATTCTCCTTTCAAACACTAATCCCCTTTCAAAGATCCAACTAGGTTTCTTAATAGTCATTTAAGTACAGTCCAATGTGATTTACTTGGGTTAGACATAAACATACTCAAGAAACTAACTGCATATGCAAGGTGCGATCTCGTGGTAATCATAGAATACATCACAGACCCAATGACATTAGCATATGGAACATTATTCATTTCATGCATTTCTTCTTCAATTTTAAAGCATTGTGCGGATGATAAATTCATGTGTCGAGCTAATGGTATATTGACAGACTTAGTAAATTTCATACCAAATTTGGTTATCACTTTATTCAAATAAGACTCTTGATTAATAGTAATCCTATTAGCAGTCCTATTCCTTTTAATAATCATGCCAATGATTTTTCTTGCCTCTCCTTAGTCTTTCATGTCAAATTCAGATTTTAAAAGGTTTTTCATCTTTATGATCTTAGCTTTACTAGGGCTAGCAAACAACATGTCATCAACATGTCATCTTTATAATAATAAATGAACTTCACAGCCTATTTTAGAGTTATTAAAATATAGACATGCATCAAATTCACTTCTCTTAAAACCAATTTTAAGTATATAAGCATCAAATCTTTTATACAATTGCTTAGAACTCTGCTTAAGACCATACAAGGACTTTCTAAGCAAGCACACAAGTTTTGATTTCCCATTCACCTCGAACCCTTGAGGTTGAGACATGTAAATCAATTCATCCAACTCCCCATGAAGAAAAATCATCTTAACATCTAGTTGTTCCAACTCCCAATCATACTGGACAATTAAGGCCAATGGTTGGATTTAATCTATGGTCCATATTACTCCTAAATTACCACAATTCACTTCAACATCCCTAGACCAATCAATTTGTAGCATGGAGATGGTGTGATCCACCTCACACCCCCGTGAGCAATAGTCTGTTTATCACTCTTCTTGAATCATAAAGGATCGTATGCTTCAAGATGTAAATTTTTTCACTGTATAAAGGGTTCCACTTTTGACAATCAATCCACCTCTCTTTCTCGAACGAGGAAGGATTATGTATTTGAAGACCTAACTCTTCGATTTTGTTAATGGCTATTACTTATATCGACACAACCACCTTGATAGTCAATCAAGAATATTTTTGGCCATTACGGTCCAACTTAGGATCTATGGAAATGAGCTAGTGGTGTCAACAAGTCGAACTGGGTTGAGCCTGCTCGTGAGCCGGAGCTTGGGGGCTTGATATCGATTCATTAAAAAAAAATGCACTCAAGCTTTAGGGCTGAACCAAGACCGGGCTTGGCTCGTCCACAAAAAAATAGGGCTTGGCCAGAAACTTTGGCTTGAACTTTTGTCAAGCCGAGCCGAGTTTCAATTTTTTTTTATTTGAATATAAGAAAATTGATCGTTAATTTACAAACTACAAAATTAATTTAAAAAGTCAAACCACAGAGCCCATATATAAGCTGGCTTGGGCTCGTACAAATGAGCTCTTAGTCTGCTCGAGCATTTTTCAAGTCGAGCCACTGGCCATCTGAATCGACAAACTCGTTTGCCACCACTACAATGAGCCGAGTCAGCTCCCTTGCCTAACTTTGGTCTTGGATTGGCCTTGTCAAAATTTAAGCTTGGGTAGTAATGGAACGAGTGACTCCCAATTGCAATCCCCCCCTCCCACCCCCCACCCCCCCCCCCAAAAAAAAAAAAAAAAATCTGAAATCTCTCCTTTTGTTTTCAATGTGATATTCTCATTTTAAACAGGTTTTTAAGAAATAAAAAAAATCGTAATATGTTTTTAAAAATTAAATTGAGCAACCATCTAGGGTTGAGACTAACTAGCTGACCGTGAATATATAAGTAAAGCTAAAATTGTACGTGAAATAAATATTTTCCGCGCTCATTTTTTTCAAGAATAAAAACAGTTAAGAAAATTATTGTAATGTATTTAAAACATACAATTTAATGAACTACAAAATCATCAAGATCATAAGAATGTTGTTATTTCTTCATCAATTTTTTTGCATTGTCAACCTTGAATTTGATATTATGCATCTTGCTAGTCCCCTAAACATATTAAAGTTTCAAATACATACTTTTTCAACATGCATCCATTATCCGACATAATCCCGTTCCCGAAAAAGAACACGGTCTCTGTTGCTACAGAGGATGCTGAATGTGTTATTAGATTATGTGTAATCCTTGACAATATAAAATATTGTCGTTTAATAAATGACCACCACGCAAGTATATCATTTAATTGAGATGTCAAAAGTTAAATGTGTATAAATTTGTTCTACAATACCACCTTGCAAGTTAATACAATGGTCTATCACTGTAGCTTGTGGACAAGTTTTCCCAATATTTTTCTAAATTGTCTCCATAGTAACAATGTCACAAAAAAAAAAAACACATATTCTTCAATAAAATAATATTACACGTAAATCCAAATTTTTTCATATTTTTTAATTACACATTTTTTAACAATCTACTATTCTATAATGCAATCTTACAATAAGATGGGGTTCAAATAGGCATTAAGTGTTGAATATAAAAAGTCTCTTATAGTGTTTAAGTATTTTTACTTTTTAAATTTATAGATATTTTCTAAATTGCAGAATATGCTTTTTATAAAAATAGAGTCTCTTGAAAATACTCTAAACCTATTATAAATGATATTCGGCTAAGTTGTGCTCTTCACATAAACTCACAAAATTTTGTTTACGAGTAAGGGGAAGTAATGAAACCTAAAACTTGTCTAAAAATATATTGAATCCCTCTACGTGTACAGAACGGAGCTTCACAGGGAGGTTGGCATTTCTTTTACAATTTTTTATCACTCATGGATTTCGCGAGAGGCCGACTTCATTTGTTCAGAACCTCACTTTTGTACAAATGGTTTTCCCCATTTTTTTAACTGTGGACCAATGAAGTTAATGTCATTTCGCAAGCTCGCCCTTTCGAGCCCAACCTGAGCTCGAGCAACCTCAGGGGCCCATGCCTCATGAGCTTTTGGGCCCATTACCATCCCCATATAAGATCCATCTTGTGTGTCCATATAGCTAAGTTTTGAGGCCTAGCTCTTATGGAATTTGGTTCCATTTAAAAGGTTACTAATTAGGTTCAAAATATTTAATTTCAAAGTAACTTTACTTATTTATGTATGGATAGACTTATAAGTTATTTATAATATCTTTATAATGCAAAAATTATAAAATTAGTCTACTTGTATACTTCTTGAGTACATAATACATTACACAAGTGTATATATAGTATCATTCAAAATTATATATCCCACAAAATATATGAAGTTGTGAATGTACATTTAAAAGCAAAGTTTGATGGAAATTATATGTCAATTGTTGAATAAGTAGATAATATTTTTGGATCCAAGTGAGCACTTTTTTCTGAATATTCTATAGTTTGAAATTAGTCCTTTAGTATAAACAAAGTGTGCATAGCAGTTGGAGCCTTCATTTGAATCAAAATTCATATCAACAAGCAAACTCATGAACTTGGGCATTTATGATAATTTTCTCTTGCATTCTGAAATTCCAAATGGTTGGTTGGAGTAGTTAAACTGTTAATTAATAAGCTTGAATCCCGCTCTCTATAATTATAGCTTCTTGAAATGAATTATTAGTAAATTGCAGTCATCGTCCCATTTGTTCTTTATTGAATACGTATCGAAATAGTTGGGCGGATTCTCCAACACAATTTATTGTCGACAACAAGAAATCTTCTTTGTTAACTCCTTCCACTTTGTATTATTTTTTTTAGTTCTATTTGTATATAACTATCGAATTGTGCTTTGTTTGGAGAGAAAAAGGGTTTGGTTTAAATTAGAAATATGTCTGGTTTTGCTTGTGCCTCTTCTTGTGGTTTGATCTTCAAGAGTAAAGAATCAGAAAGAAATGTGGTTTCATTGTTTCAGTATAATGGGCTTAGAGCAGTTGAAAGCATTCGATTGGGTGCAATTTGGTGTAACCCAAAAAGCTCCATTTCAACTTCTGGTATGTTTGATCATCCTTTCTCTTCGTGATATTTTCCCGATTTTCCCATACTGTTTCGTAATTGTTTGTTGCATAATTTAATGAATAATGCTACTTATTCCCTGGATACTTTTTTTGGAATATTTTAAAGCCTTGTTTGGTGGAGATTAAAAATCGAATTTTTAGTAGATTTTGATAAAATATAGTTAAAAGGCTATGGGGCAAATGAGATATATGGTTAAAATTAATTATTGACTTTGACTTATATTAAAATTTTAATCCCTATCAAACAGGGACTAAGTATTTTAGGTTGCTTTTAACATTACTAGTATATAATTGGGACCATTTTTCCTTTTCCCTTTTTCTTTTTCATTTTTGTTTTTTTTTTTTTTTTTTTTTTTTTTTTGGTTAAAAAATTCCGACCAAATTATATTTGACCACATCATGTGTATGTAAGCCATTATGTAAATGTAACATAACCAATCTTGTTGCTATGTATTCAAATGATGTTGATTTTTTTAAAAAAAATTGTACCAGTCTTATTTGGAGCATGGAGAATTTAGATTATTAATAATATGCAGAAATAGAAACGAGAGGATTATTTCGACCATTTTTCGTTGTTTTCATTTAGTCTTGAGTCATTGGGTGTGGTAATGGAGTTAAGATTTGACACTAAATGCAATTCTCTCTCTTCTTCTCCTTTCTGTTATTTGCTAATAATTGTTTACCGAAGTTTCCCTTTAGGTGAATACAACTTACACAATGTAAAAACCATTGTTTTCACGGACTTTTCCTGTAGTAATGCCATTAACTTCGTCAAGATCCCCACCCTCGATCAAATGAAATTGAGAAGCTACTGTAATATTAATCAAAAGAAGAATTCGATCAAATTACAGCAGTAGTGACACCTTTATGTTAAGGGCTGAATTCTGTTATATTTTCTACTCACAAAGTTTATCTACCTTTTACTTAAGTACAAGGACAAGTTCTCTTACTGGTGAAATATGAAGAAAGGCCCTATGATAAAATACCATGCATTTTTGGATGAACAAATATTCTGAATATATAAAGTTCAGGAACTCTACAAATTGATAGAATGACATAGTTGTAAGGCAATCTTTGGTTTTAAATTCTTCCATGTCGCGATCTTGTGATACCAAATCTTTTATTACATTTTCCTTTTGTCAGTGGTTTTATCGATTTCTTTCTCAGTTACCTCACAAGGGAAAACACAGTTTTCTAGTTCTTTCACCTAGTTATTGATTGATTGTGCTTTCCTATTGCACTGCCTTTTCCAAAATTAATGCAGCCATGTCTGTCAAATAGATGCAAGGTTTGCACTTACAGTTCTGTTTTCTCAGTGATATGCTTCCAAGGGCTCTAGCTAAATCACTGAACTTCTTTGCATTTAAATTCTGTTGTAGACTAAGTGGAGCATAATTGTACCTTAGATATAATACAAAGTCGTTTTTCGTGTGCAAGAGAGGTGTGAGGAAAACTTATATTCTCTTTATTAATTATGGTTAAGACCTGCAGCAACAAGTAGATGTAGCCATCACATTGAGGGTGTGTACTCTGCCATTTTTTCTGATTTCTTTATTGTTTATTACTGCTCCGGTAAGTTGGAATTGGGCGTAATCCATAACAAAATGTGATTCTTTTCAGGGGAAACTGCTTATTGGTCTTAATGTGGCGGTTTTTCAGTTTTAGGAATTCCACGTCCTTTTATTTCCGTTCAATTTCTATTGGGAACTATATGCTAATGTATGGTTTAAAGTTTCTTTTTATCTCTCTGCATTATTGTATCGATATTCATTGGGAACTATATGCTAATATATGATTTAAAGTTTTTATTTTTCTCTCTGCACTATTGTATCGATATTTGTTATCTGAATGAATTGTTTATTCTTAGCAGCAAAATGTGAAAGAATTAAGGCCATGGCTTCTCCCACAGTTTCAGTTCCCAAGCGAGAAAAGGATCCCAAGAAGAGGATTGTCATAACAGGAATGGGCCTTGTTTCTGTTTTCGGCAATGATATTGACACGTTTTATAACAAACTTCTCGAGGGCGTGAGTGGAATCTCACCAATAGACCGATTCGATGCTTCAGAATTTTCTGTAAGGTTTGCAGGTCAAATTCGAAATTTCTCTTCCAAGGGCTACATTGATGGGAAAAATGATCGCCGGTTAGATGACTGCTGGAGATACTGTTTGGTTGCTGGGAAGAGGGCCTTAGAAGATGCCAGCCTCGGACAAGAAATTCTTGAAACTGTGAGCCTTTTGCATGTTCAAAAATGATTTTCGGATCAAAGAATCTATTGAGGACTTTAAAAAAAATACTAGTGTCTCTTCTCTAGCACCTCAAGATTACAATGAGATGGTGTCATATGGTATCTGCCAGGCAAAGGGCCAGGGTTTAAGTATCGCCTCCAACCACTTATGAAAATATTTAGGGGGTGTTTTGAAGATTAAATTTAAATAAATAAATGTATTCTCTATCTAATAACTTCAGCTTTGAGACGAGATGCTTCGCGAGAATCAAAAATATAACACGACGTTCTCTTGTATGTTGCAGATGGACCGTACAAGAATAGGAGTTTTGGTTGGATCAGGCATGGGAGGCATAACTGCTTTCAGCAATGGAGTGGAAGCTCTAATTCAAAAGGGATACAAGAAAATAACTCCATTTTTCATTCCGTACTCCATCACTAACATGGGGTCTGCATTACTGGCTATAGATACCGGCTTGATGGGGCCTAATTACTCCATTTCGACAGCTTGTGCCACTGCAAATTACTGCTTCTATGCCGCAGCCAATCACATTAGACGAGGAGAAGCAGATATCATGGTAGCTGGGGGGACAGAGGCTGCCGTCATTCCTACTGGAGTCGGAGGCTTTATAGCATGTCGAGCATTGTCTCAAAGAAATGACGAACCAGAAAGGGCATCACGGCCATGGGACAAAGACCGTGATGGTTTTGTCATTGGTGAAGGCTCTGGTGTACTGGTATATGAACTCTTTCGGATTCACTTGATTGATTATTGAAGCATTTATTTTGAGAAAAAAAAAGGTTAATTTTATTAGTTCTATGTACTTTAACTTGGATTATGAACGACAGATTATGGAAAGCTTGGAGCACGCGACGAAAAGAGGAGCTAATATTATTGCAGAGTACTTGGGAGGTGCTGTAACTTGTGATGCTCATCACATGACTGATCCTCGATCAGACGGGCTAGGAGTGTCGTCTTGCATAATCAAGAGTTTGGAAGATGCTGGGGTGGCACCTGAAGAGGTACGAGTGGTTCATACTGTATACTGTAATTATGGGATGCATGCATTTTGAACATAATGTTGTTTAGCCCTGTTTGTTTCAGATAAAAATTCTAAATAAAATCCAAGTCAAAATCAACAATTAATTGTAACCACATTTTATAGGACCTACAGCTTTTTAACCACTTATTCTATCAATTTATCAAAATCTACTAAAAATTTGAATATAATCTAATCAAACTTGGGCTTAATTTGGTTCTCCTATACTAATAGGTAAATTCTCGTTTAACAGGTAAACTACGTAAATGCTCATGCAACATCAACCCTTGCGGGAGATTTGGCCGAGGTCAATGCCATCAAGAAGGTCTTCAAGAATACCTCAGAGATAAAAATGAATGGTACCAAGGTGAGAAACCTTTTCACAACACAGAGTCTTGTTCCTTATAATCTTGGGATCGGCTGGACAAATTCTTTTTTGTTACCCATTCAGTTCACTTCTAGTTCTAGATGATCCAAAACTACTAAATTTTTAGAAATCACTAGAAGTGGTGTTGGTTTTTATTTAACCCTTCCTCTTGCAACATGTTGTACTGAGTTAACACCTCTCTTATGAATATGAGCATCTTCAAGTCTACCCAAAAACATGTTCCAACTGCCTAAGTCATCATTCCATAATTTATCTTAAGACATTGCTACCTCCACTTGTTGGTGTATATTCTCATTTTTTATCATATCCATCTCAGTATGACAATACATCCATCTTGACATTATGTTTCTTTTGATGGCCCAACACTCAGAACCATGAAATATAACAGGTTTAGTAACCATTTTTTTTTCTATTAATAATATACTTCTGATAAGCTGCAATTCTCGAAAAATTAATTTACAATTGTCATGAAACTACATACTCATTGAGTTTTATTTTAGGCCAAATTTTTTTGTAATTGATTCATGGTCGAACCAAGCAATCATTTATTTCTTAAGATGCACAATATTGATGTTATTGCATATTAATTTCACGCCTTAGCCGAATTCTTTAAACTTTTTCGACAACTATGATTCAGTCGATGACCGGGCATGGCCTTGGAGCTGCTGGTGGACTCGAGGCGATAGCAACCATTAAAGCAATCACCACTGGCTGGTTACATCCAACAATCAACCAACATGTACATTGCAAAAACTCGATTATTTATTTATTTATTTTCACAATACAATATTCACAATTATAATGTGACATTGTACTAAATATCACTTGTCCTAATTATTCATCCTGTTCGCAGAACTTGGAGCCAGAGGTTACCATCGACACAGTCCCGAATGTGAAGAAACAGCATGAAGTAAATGTTGGTACGTGATCTTATCCTTATGTGGTTGGTCGTTCTTAATGTAAAATGCGAATATCTAGGTTTGAATAATCATTATGGGATTTGCACTAAGCTGAAAAATCAAGAAAGTGTAATTTCTTGAGACGTGCACTTTCTTGAACCTAAGAGAAATCTTATTATTCTCGTTCATCTGCAGGTATCTCTAACTCATTTGGCTTTGGTGGGCATAATTCGGTCGTTGCCTTTGCACCCTTTAAGCCTTAAAAAAAGCTAATAGAAGTACCAGACTTGGATTTTCTCTCATCAGAGGGACTGATTTACGTCGTATAATTTAATTGGAAGTGTAATTTAGAGTTAGAGAGGTTTGAGTGTCGAAATCTTTCATGCTGGAATCAATCTTCCCAATTTATCAACGGCCTGATGGGAATACATTCATTCTGTATCACTGAATAAGATTGTTAAAACATTGGTGTTTTCTTATCTGAATCTGACCTTCTCCCTTGCATAGTCTGAAAAAGTTACTTTTAAGCTTGGAAATTTGTCTTGCTAAGCTTGAAAGTTACTTTTAAGCACTTTTACTGTTTAAAACCTTAACCAAACATGCAAGGAATCAAGGATTTTCAGACAAAAGCAAAACATTCCTTTGAATAAAGGATAGGTATATGTCACGTACTTTGCTGAAGAAAAGTTATTAAAGCATGAATATTAAAATTCCATGGTTTTAAACGTCATGTCCATCGTCATCATCAATTTGTGCATAGTGACAAGATGCTTGGTTTTCTATATATATATAGGAAGGTGCAATTATCATGGTAAAATTAAAATATCGTGCAACTTGCCAAAGCCATAACCTACATTGGTTTTGCTTGTCAAAGTTGGTCTACGAACTAGTTTAATTAGATTTTTTGCTTGCTTTTGCTTGAAGTTGGTGCTGTACTACTATCGATTTGTAGTAGCTTTAACAACATTTCAATATTCACTAAAAAGTTACAGTATACGACGCAGAAAAGTGATAATATAAAATAAAAGATACGACAGACCACTAAAGTTACAATATTTACAAAATTAAATTGTTTAATATCATTTTGCTCACCGAGTCATTAGAGTGACTATGAAGTCATCATTCCACGCCTTTTCTTCAAGTGAGATCCCAATGTACGACGAAGCTTGACTATGTGGCAATTCAGTCTTGAGAATAAGTTAAAATCTTATATATTGTACCTTTTGATTAGGTCTAATATGCTTGTCTAGAAAGTGAATGTTTAAAAATGAAAATTAAATTGATGGTGTATTGCATTATATGTTCATATCCCGACAACTCTAGGTAGCATGTGTGTAACACATTTTTATGAATGTGTCTGATCTCTCTCTGGTGAATGTCACGGATCGTATCAACCCAACTTCATTGGCTTCAATTGGGGTCGTCTTCGAGAGTAAATTATCAAGTTGAATCGAAGTTTGGATCCAATTGAAATATAAAAATTAAATACATAATGTTATTAGGCAAAATCATTGCAAATTTCTGAAGCTTATCTGTCTTGATTCCAAACATTTAATATTGGAATATGCTTCCCGAATTACGAAAATTCCTTGTTAACTACGTACGAAATCTACGTTGATTTTCTTATTAGATTGGACGAGATTTTTCAATGATAAGTTTTTTATCCACAACTTGTACCTTCCATGTCAAACTTGGTGAATAGTGAGGAAATCACCTTCGATCCTATGAGGCACGGACTTTGTTCACTCGCTCTCTCACTTTTGCTCGCTCGCTCGCTCGCTCGCTTTCTATTGTGTTTTGGGTTGAGTCAAGCGATCATAATGTGAATTTTAATTGACAATAATTCCAAATATTGCTTTAGTTGTGGATGTAGCTTATGATATATATATATATTTTTTTTTGTTGCAACCGTGTATGTGGCGACGGCGGCCGGCCTGTCGAATTGCAAAGGAGCAGGGACCAAATTTCCACTTTCGTTCTCTTTTTGTTGTTCCAATTAATTATAAGAGATTTAATTAAGTATAAGCAATTTATTAATTTAATGAATAGATTCCAATTACCATTTAATAATTCCTTTTTAGCCTCATAATTGTCACCACATGGGTACAACCCAAAATGCCTTTATTATATGGGCACGATAAAATTAAAAATAATATATTAATGAAATAATAGTACTGATCTCTAATTAATTAATTTTAATTAGAAATCATATGTTTTTCTAAGTGGGGACATCCCACGTCATATTCGTAAAATTTTAGAATAATGCTATGCATAATGAGAACTATCAGTAATCTCGTCCTACGTGACATATATGTAATACTTTATTATTTGATGTATTAATGTATTGTTTTTTATTGCCCTATGCATCAAATAAAAAATTGTCACATGTATACCACTTAGGATGATTACTGATAATTTTCACTATGTCGACCCACTTGTGAATTGTAGCGCTGGTCCTCAACTTATTATTTC